TTGATACTTATTGTACTTCGCTAATAAGATGAAGTGCCAAGTTGATAACTAACTTAAGCGAGTGATTCAATAAGTTCCTACCTTGATCAAGTTAGGGACCGAGTCAAGTTAGGAACGGCCTTGACTTAGGAACCGAATCTCACGAACATATATGACCGAAAGGTATTCGGCGATCAGCATTTCGTCGAATTTCATATCGATAATCTGTATTTCGGTGATATTGATTTCGGCGATCTTGCTTTTCGGTAATGATCGTTTCGGCGCGAGTTTCGGCGATTTGAGCTTTCGGCGATGAGGTATACAATCCATTTGAACGCTGTTGTGTTTATTATCTCTAAATACAAGCTACTGAGTCATTTGAAATGTCTCAAAAAAAGCGTACACATGAACATAGCTACGAACATCCTGCCTCTTTTCATTAAGATCTTCCGGTCATTTTCATCCCGAACGCCACGCAAATTTCAGTTTTTGTTTTTCAAAAATACTGCTGTCCGTTACTGTCTACTGGACAACTTTCATTCCGAACATCCTGACTGTCTAAAATTTTTGTCATTCCGAAGAGCATGTATGTTTTTTATATGTCGGGAAATCGTAACACAAAGTTAGTGCGAAATGTCTCTTTCCCAAAAAACAAAATGACTCAATACATATAATTTCCATTTTATATAGTTTACGAAGTAATTAGAATACTTTGGGAATAATCATATAAGGTACTTTTTGTTTATATTCTTCATATCTTTTTCCAAAATGTTTTTTTAATTCTTGTTCTTCAATATGAATACGATAGTAAAATACTGAAGAAATCGGTATCATTGTAATACAGAATGTTAACCAATTATTTAAAAGTAAAGATAAACCAAAGAAATACAAAAATACACCTGCATATGATGGATGTCGCATTTTTCTGTACAAACCAACATCAATTAATTGTTGATTGTCAGTGGTACGAATCGCAGTCGTAAACCATTTTCCTAATTGGTCGATGGATTTTATTCGTAATAGAAGGCCAATGAAAAATAAACTTATAGAAAATGGAATCCATACGAAATATTTAATATGTTTATTTAGAATTATTTTTGATCCATAACCTAAACGAGTACAATGTATGGAAGATATTTGTGCACATAATATAATTAGCCAGATCATAAATATAGTTCCGCGATCTTTTGAGGGAGTTTCTGGTGAAACTGTTGATGAGTATTTTTTCTTTGAAATATATACTTCCATAAGAGCAACAGGAATACCAAATAGCATATTTAAACTACTGTCTAAGTCCATTTTTTCTTTATTACAGTACTATCAAAACGTTTATGTATGATATCTTCGCTGACGAATTTTTATCTAGATCCATAATTTACCAAATACATACCAACAGGTTACGAAAACAAAAGCCATTGGGTTTCTAACGAACCATCTCAGTCTCAATTCAGTCATGCATTTTTTGTTTAATATGCATATATTTGATATATACGTACATGAAAATATATGGTAAATTACTGTTTCATTAAAAAATTGATTATACCGAAAAAACCAAGTTGACTCATGTTAGAACCTTGAAAAATATCAGGTGAAATCACGTTATTGTGTACATGTCTCACTCCCAATAGCCTTTCGTCGTTTGAATACAGGCTCAAAACTTGTCTTCGTCTCGCCAATGTCTCATTACTTGTCTTAGTATGAATTCAAACAACATAAAACTTTCCAATCTCCCTATATCTTATAGATGTGATTTCTAAGACATAAATCATGAACATAAAAAGTAAGGCGACACTAGTTAAATTGTTGTGAAAACGAAACAGAATGATATACATACAACCTGCAGTGCATAATGCATTCTCATACTTTTATTGTGAATAGAAAATGAAAAAATGCATCATCACATTGATTTTTAGTTTTCAATGTAAATTACTTTGGTCTCGTTTACTTTCATGATAGTCATTTAATTCAATCAATGTTAAAAAGAAATACTTATTAGCAAAAATTATTCGAGTACGACTACTAGTTTACTGGTAGCTCGTAAAATTTCAGGGTGTTTTGAATCCGAATCGTTTCATAATTCCAATGTATCATCTCAACTAATTTGAGCCGAAAAATTTAGTCAATATTGAAATACACATCTTCTTTTTCTTTTTCATATCAACACACATTGTTTTTTGTTTTTGTTTTTGAAAACAGAGAAAGAAAGAAAAAAATGAAAAGACAAAGTTAAACTTCATTTACACGACAATAGAGAACACCTACATACATACAGAAAAAAGAGAATAAGAGACTCGTTGGCTTTTTTTCGTTTCTTTACAAATAGTATAACATATTTTAATAAACAATAAGAGGAAAAAACGAAAAAGCACAAAATGCACAGATACAAAAGAGTATACGTAACTGTGACATTCAACCACACATAGATTAGGACGTTCTAAAAAACGAAAAAAGGAATTCAGAAATCATTTTACTCCAATATTCAGACAACTTACTCTGATGTGTCCATGCCATCTGTGTTAACTACGGCTACTGTAGGTTCATCGGCCGGTGTCGTTGACGTTTCATTTTCCTCTACTATTGTCGTAGTTTTCTTAACTTCTTCAATGGCTGTTGTTGGTGTGGTAGCAATTGTTTCTGAACCTACTGAGGTTACTTCATTCGATGTTCCATTTTCTGTTGTTTCATTGTCTATCGCTGATACAACAACAGTTGATTCAGTAGCTTTCGTTGTTGACGCAACACTTGTACCATTGGCTGTTTCAGAATTGTTTTTGCGTCTAGTTGAAGTTTGTTTGAAATTCGATTGATTACGTCGATTATCGCCATCTTCATCTTCTGAATCTGATAGTTCACGTTCATCAGTTATACGTCGGTCACTTTGCACTTGTGATATACGCTAGAGAAAAAAAAATATCATCACGTTTATTTATTAATGCAGAAAATAAATTTACTTTATCAGGATCATTATCTTTATCTTCATCAACAGCACGATCAACATCCATAGCATCATCTGGGATAGCTAAAAGAAGAGCACATTTCAATAATTTCCTATGTTCAACTGTTTAAATCTTACGTTGCATTTGTACACCTGGAGCATGCGGTAACATACGAAGATTATCAAAAAGTTTAACTCTATAAATCGAATTTTCAATTCATGAAAATCTTCTCTTGAAAAAAAATTATTTACTTTATTTTGTCTAAATACTCCGAGCTATTTTGATTAGGCATATTTGATGGACTTATATGAAGTTTAAAATCAGGTCCATAGTATTCGAAATAATCATTGTAAGGCAATTCTATACAAAAAGATAAACGAGTATTATTTCAAAAAATATAATTTATTAGCAGAAATTACCATTTGGAATATCTTGATTGAGTGCAATTGCTGTTTCATATGTCCAAGCACGGGCAACATTACGTATGGTATAACCACCACCACCAACGAGTAATAAAGGTAAATTAAAGCCTTTCATGAATTCTACGCATTTACCATGGCCTAAAAAATCACAATAATTTTTAATGAATCGAACGCAATGTTTTCTGTGTCAATGCAAATACCTTTAAGTGTTAAATTAAAACAACCAAGACGATCGCCAGTTAATGAATCAGCACCACATTGTAGCACAACAGCATTTGGTTGATAAGATTCCATGACTTTTGTCATGACTGGTTTAAATATTGTTTCATAGGAATCATCATCGATTCCATCGCGCAAAGGAAAATTAACAGCATAGTATTTGCCGCGACCAGCTCCGATATCCTACAATAAAATTTATTTAGTCATGATGATGAAAATAAGACAGCCAACATTTTCGATAGGTATTTTTAGAAATTTTTGATGGGTGTAAATAGGATAAGTTTAGCGCATTTGCGTTTTTGACATAGCATGTTTACGATTACAGTTACCGACAAAAAGATTGAGCCATGATGTGACGATATATGGAAATTACTATATTTTATGGTGAAATTATTCATTTTTGTCCCAACAGAGAGGATATTCTAAAAGTCATTCGATGGGTGTACTTAATTCTTTAAAACCTATTTATGGCGAATGGAACTTGAATAACAAAATTTTATTACCAAGTAGTGCACTCCTAATGAGAAATTGTTATTCTTCGAAATTTAGCAGAATTTTCAAGAAAAAAAACGACCTTTTTATCTGTATGATTACTAGTAAAATCAATGTAGTTTTGAAGTAGAATGCGAAAAATATAAATTCAAATGTTGCAATAATCTTGAAACACGTTCACTTCTCTACAGCGTTTTAGAATTCATCAATTTTTCCTTATTGTACAAGAAAAACGAACTTACTCTTAAATCACCAGTACCCGGAAAGTATTCTCCGAATTTGTGAAATGATACCGTCATAACTCTGTCAGTTGTATAGAAAGCTTCTTCGACACCATCACCATGATGAATATCAATATCGATATAAATTACACGTTGATGATATCTTAAACAGAAAAAATATCAGTCAATTTCTCTGTATTGTAATGAGAACAAGATAATTATTTACTTGAGCAATTCAAGAATGGCTAAAACAATATCATTGACATAACAGAAGCCAGACGCTTCAGATTTTTTAGCATGATGAAGTCCACCAGCCCAATTAATGGCAATATCCGTTAATTTTCGGTTTAATTTAACAGCACCAGCTAATGAACCACCAGCTGATATTTGACAAAATTCATAAAGACCTTCAAATACTGGACAATCTTCACCAACATTAAACCGTTGCATTTGTTTATTGAAATCAACAATATTATCGGGTCGAATATTTTGAATAAATTTTACATATTCATCACTATGAAAACGTGTCATTTCATCAGAAATAGCTTTATGTGGACGCTATTAAAAATAAAGCGAGTTTTTGCGTAAAACACGATTGAAAAAAAACAATATACATACATAAACTTCCATTTTACGGTAAAGTCCATAATTGAGAATTAAATTATGTGTCATACGTATACGATGCGGTTTCATCGGATGGCCTTGTCTATAGAAAAAATTTAATATCAAATCATTAGTCATTTTTTTATGTTTGAATATATTACCCGTAATAATAATTGCCCACATCGAAATCGTAGTAATAAGAGACCTTCTTACGACTATGAGGACCGATAGTTGATGGTGTAGTGGACATTTTACTTTTGCCTTAGATCTAAATATACGAAGATAGGTTTTTTTCTATATATCAAGAGAATGGATATTCACGATAATACTAACAAAGGAACAGAAATGCTTGAGAATGACCACCCTGAGAGTGGACGATCAGAATAATGAATAAACAAATATCAAACGTTTTATATTGATTGGTGGAAATAGAAGAAAGACAGATGAAATGGTTCGATTTTTGGAAATTAAAATTATTTTTCTTTACTTTTTCATATTGAAAAAAAAATTGAGTTTATTTGAATTTATTTCATACGCTTAACACAGTGACATCTACTAATTGAATTATGATTCAGAAAACCAATAGTCCAATCACATTCGAATTTAGATGATGATTTCGTGTGAATGAGTCATTTAGACATTGTCAAAGCCGTAAATCATCAATGCAACTAGTATCATACTGATTTTAATAAGCTGATAGGTATTCTACTACGATGTGAAAAACACTACGGCCATTGACTATCGATGAGATGAAACAGGTTCCAATAGATTGAAATGAGTATGCTGATTTTCGTGACATCTCATTTATGTTTTCGCTCTGAAATCAACTCAAGAAAAGCCATTATTGTATGAACATAACTTTCATTTACTATAACTAGCATATTTAGTTAATTATGGTGTTGGATTCAATACAGTTCAATTATAATGTCTAATATTGACGAACTTATATGTCAATCTAGATGTCACTGTATTAAATGTATTCGATATAAAGTTGTACTTCTCATCACTATTTATGTCCTCTATTGTTAGATTAATCGTCAAGTAATAAATAAATGTTCAAGTGTAAAAAATTTTCAGTTAAACCACATTACTTAATTTGTTTGCATAGTAGTTTTTTGGTATTAGAAAATAAATAATTCTTTTATGAAGATCATTTTCAGATGTCAACTCCTGAAGAACGTCGTCAACGCATCATAGCTAATAGAGAATTGCGTCTTGCTAGACTTCGAGAAATAAATCGAGGCGAGACGCCAGTTGAATCTCCTCCCCTGCTACCAGTTTCTTCCGAAGCTCCAGATGAACTGTTAAAACGACCACAAAACCAATTAAATACTCCAAGTGTTTCTCCTGCTAATAGAGATCAACCTAAACAGGCATCATTATTCTCAATGATCACTTCAGGGATAAATTTTATTAATTCATTGTCAGCTGGATCACCAACAACCTCAACAACAAAAATAGAAAATACTAAAGAAATGGTTACGATTGATAAACAACATGTTCTTGTTATTATTCTTGGAATGATTGTTTCACTTCTCTATTCGTTTTATATATCAGCTCAATCGAACTTTTTCTTCATTGTATATTTTACATGTTGTATATGCATATTAACATCACGTTATTATATGATGGAAATGAAACATCGTACAAATGTGTTAATTACTACAGCAATGTTATCAGGATTTAAACCAGAATTAATGAAAAAAATAAGTCTTCTTTATACTCTTGTATACGATGCTTGGATAATGTTTGCATTGTATTTTGTTTCTTTTTGTTTAACACATGTTATTTATTCTCTATTTTAAATCAATTGAATAAAACTTTAACATAGTTTTGAAGATCAAGACACGTATAAAAGTACATGATTGCTTTAGAAATCATTCTATATTATGAATAAAAAATACGGAACCACAATTAACAGTATCGTTCTTTAAAATATATGATAATTTACTCCGGATAATGATTATCGGCAGAGAAAAAAAGAGATCAGTAGATCAAGTTTTTTAAGGATATTATTGTTGAAATAGTTAACTTTTCTTTTGATCGAATCGCATAAGTTTTATTCAAAAATTATAATATCATGTTTTTACTCGCATTGCTTTAAACGTGATAATACGCAAACTTCGACAGTAAAGAGAATGCATTTGTTTTTCTTTATTAGAACCGATATTGAAAAAAAAGCAGGAAGTAACACAGTAGGTATGTATCAAAATGAGCGAAAGAAAAAATGTCGAATTGAAAATGCCGAATGGAAAAAATAGCGAAAAGATTTATTTTAATATTTTTAGATTGCTAAGATGATGATTTTATATTATCTGATAAAATTTAAAATACATCAAAAAATGAAATGAATCAAGCATAATTAGTTATAAAATTAATAAAAAGAAAATATTTCTTCATGTATAAGTTTGTTTCTTTTGTTTGGCTATGATGAGTGAGAAGCCATCTAATAATTCAGCAGCATCTATTTCAAAAAAACTTTCTGTATATTCGTATATGTATATACATATTGTATCCATTTCTTTCGCAAATCCAATATTTTTTAATACTATTTCATTTCTTATTCGATATATAAAATCGTTTAAAATTAGCAGAGGATTGCCTTTATTAGAGATAGAAAAAGATAGGTTGCTTGTTTGTATTCGATGTCATCGAAATTTATACTAAATTAACAACAAGTGATATGCAATGGAAAAAAATAAGGTATGGCGTATCTTTATTTCATTATATCTTTTGTGTCCTTTGTGTTTATTCCGTAAGCTAGATTGAACGATGATACTATTGACGAAAAACGCTAGCCAGTGAAAATAGATAACACAAGAAAGCGGAGGAATAAAATATCACTAACTGAATTTTAAAATTCAAAAAAAAATTATGGAAAGATATTCTTTTTCGCTATTATTGTGTTCAACATTTTTTCTTTCGCTCATTTTAATGCCATTCACACAGTACACCAATGATACAAGTCTTGAGAGAAACGTTTTCGGCTCTAAGGATAGCAAATTAATTTCAAATAAATCATGGAAATTTGAAGAGAATAACTGTTCCATTCAATTTCGCATACATGTTTGACACCGTTGATTTATTGCGAATCAAAATGTTTATCTTTGGCATAAAATTTAACTTCGTTGAGTAATGCTATATTAGAGCTAAATTTTGTGACTTATTAAAAATTTGACATAATGTGAATTTTCTAAAAAATGCAACTAAGTCAAGAACATGAAATTGTAATAAATTAAAAATATGATGGCTGTCAAATACATGAAAAAAACTAACAATAAACTATTCGAGACAAAGTTTTCAATTCTATGTTTTGAGACGAAATAAGTCTTCTGTGAAAAAATCTTGCTATTGAGACATTAAAACGTAATTCGTCTTTTTTTAAAATATAAGAATGAAAATTATATTCGTTTAATCGATGCAGGCATTTTCTCAATTTCAAGCTAAGATATAATACAGCATTATTTTCATCGGTTTATTTAAAGGGATAAATATATATATATGTTATAAATTTGCTTTGCAGAGAAACATATAAAGAGAGAGAGAGAGAGAGTAGAAAGAATCAAATTATGATAAGCTTTGCTTTGTTAAAAATTGAGAGATCAAAAATATTTTTGTGCTCGTTAATGAAAGATCTACTAATATTAGAAAGAAAAGAATTAAAATTTATGTCCATTGAATTGTGATTATTCACGATTGAAACTTATGGTGTTGGCATGAAAAATGCTACAGCACACGCTGCTGAACATTTGCCGAAGGCAAGATTGCATGCAATAATGGCTGCTGGCGCACCAGCTCCGGCAGTAACAGTACCAAAAACAGCACCAGCCGCCGCGTAGCAGGCAACTACAACGGCTGCACATCCGGCTTGACAAATTCCATAGGCTGTTGGGCCAGCTTTGACGCATGAAGTTGTCAGGATAATAATACACAAAAATAGTGCTACCGATTTCATCGTTTAATTCTATAATAAACGTGAGAACTAAGAGACATGATAAATACTTAGCAAAGGAAATAATGAAACTCCGAGCGTGCGTATTCCATTGTATTCGAACTGGACTCTAAAGTGCGTTTTCGCCTAGACGGAGTCTCGTTGTTACCCTTGCGCTGTCTTCTATAAATAATAGTTATAGGAAAGATGAATAGATTATTTTGGCTTGTAAAGATGAAGCCAGAAAGGGATAGAAGGAAAAAAATATGTGCGGATTACAAACTAAAAAATACTGTATATGTAAACGCTAACGACATCTTAGGCGGTGGCGCACATCTGAAATGTTTACAATACTTGTAGAATAATATGTAGAGCAAAAAACAAGCAGCAGTATCTTCTTCTTTTTTTCTCTATTTTAAATCTTGTAATGTAAGGACCGTGAATTTGATCGACAGTTAGTAGCAAATAAAACAAAATGCAGAGGAAAATAATATTCTGAATTCGCTATGTGAATGAATGTAGTAATTGATGCTTGCAAAAATAAAGTTGAGTAACGCGTAGGCGTATAAATAACTATCTAGGAATAAAAAGATGTTTGAATAATTTGTATAAGCAGTACATGTATTCGGATTTGATTATCATTTTCTTGTTTTATACTTATCTATGAAATATAATTTAATTAGATAGAGTCTGATAGGGTCAGTTCGTATCAAAAATTTGAAGACTCTTTTCCTCAGCCATCTTACGTTTTAGAAAGATGATTTTTGTATCATTGCTAATTCGAAGTGTTATTTGTCTTCTAGCGAGAGGATCATCGAAAAAGAGTATCCAAAAAACAAAGTAATAACGCAAATGTTAAAGTAGTGCGAAGCTGATCCGAACTGACCAAGGCAGATTTTCATTGAATGAAAAGTGACTGACGGAGGAGTTTTTCTTATAAATACTATATTTCAAGTCTCATGTAAGAAACTTTGGGCTATCGAATAGTATATTCTTTTTTCTACGAATACGAATAAAAATTATTTCAATATACGGAAATATAGGTATAACACTTCTCGCTGGAGTAATCCACATTAACTTACCTAGATTGATAGAGTGATCTGAATTACTTCATGTGAGGTAATTCCGATCAGCTTCACACTAATTGTGCGCTTTGTGGCATTACGGGTTTTTAGGATATTCTTTTTTTTGATGATCCTCGCTAGTAAACGTTGGATGATTGAGAAAAGAGTCTTCACATTTTTGATACGAACTGACCCTATCAGACTCAATCTGATTAAATTAAATGAGCAAATCGTTTATCTGCTATTTCATAGATAAGTTAGAAAAAGAAATGAAACAATAGTCAAGAAGTTTGAATTTTTCATAGGCTACCCAAAAGTGAAACATAGTATTTTCCTCAACAGTCGGTACCCACTTGTCACTTCGTTTTTATGACGAGAGTGTAAAATAGATTATCATCTCGAGATCACGAGGATCATGGCTACTTTGTCACCATTATAGATTCAAGCTGTTAGAAACGTTGATTCGTTTCGTAAAGAATTCATGTTATCATCGTCTTCGAGCTAAAATAATCTGAATAAATTAGACAGACTATCAGTTGCCTAGCTTCAATACAAGTTTCTTTTAGATATTACTGAAATAAAGCGAACTACACTAGAAGATGTCGTTACAATCTCATATTTGATGAGGCTTCAGTCATTACAAGCCACTTTTCAAAAACCACCGAAAGTCCAGTTTGATAGAGAAATGTTTTCTCTATTTATTGATCCTACATCTATGTTGGGCTCATCCTGGAATATAAACTGACCAATAATTTAATATTTGCAGTTGGCTTTGTTTTATCAATTCTTTGTCAGTTCAGGGTCAATATCAATTTTGAATATTTTTCTTTTACATGAAGAGAAGAACGCAAGGAATAAATCAAGCCACAAAGCTGTGTTTGCCGGCACAGCCAAAAAAACAATGGTTACAATTGTGTTGCTCGGAGTATCAAGTTTTTCACCACTTTCTTAATTATCAAACGGTTTTTTTTGTTATTTTATAATATATATCATGCCTAATGATGGCTGCTGTTGATGAGCCACGTCTACTTGATTGTTTTCTGGCTTCCAGACGTTTGTCACTAATCCTTTCAATGACTCCAGCAATGGTTCTCGCTTTGTTGCTACTTGGTTTCAACGATACTGTCACGCCTCATTAGCTGAAAAGGCTGAATTAGTTGCAAAGGGATTCGTATCGGCCAAGTTAGTGATGCTGTTTCTCTAGCTACGGAGCTACGAAAAGTAAAATACGAAAGTTGGGATATTTTAATGACGTGCTGTGTAAGATTGTACACACGCGAAACGTTTCTCTATCGACTCGTTAACCAAGTATTGCGCAGTAATGGCACAAGTCGACTTGAAACATTAGGTTCTTTCTGTTGGTTTCTTCATAATATCGTATATTGTGAACCATTTTCGCTTCAATGCTTCACTGGACGAGTCTATCGAGGTGCCATGAGGATTTTCATTAATATTGTGATCATTTTCTACAACTATCTGAGAGTAGACTGATTAATAAGTCCGATGTAATTCTGAATAATATTACACTCGATTATTCAATGATTAGTAGTTACAAGCAAGCTATTGGTACAATCAAAGCATGGAATGGTTTTTCGTCCGCTTCAAAGAATCGATCCGTCGCTGAAGCTTTTGGTACAAACGTTCTGTTCATCATCGATACTAATCCTGATAGTCGTTCAGATCATAGTATTGATATCTCTTCTTACTCACAGTTTCCAGACGAACAAGAAGTGTTAATTCGAGCAGGACGCAATTTTCGCATCGAAAAAGTCGAGCGATTAGATAGTACAAACAAATATTTGATTTATTTGACCATCATCTGACGAGATTTTGTGTTGGTGCCGGTGTAAATGAAGAGAAAACTCATACCCACACACTCACACTTCTAGTAAACAATATGGTACTACGGGTATCATTATTTTTGAAAAAGATACAAAAATTGTAATTTTATTTGAACGCAAGAATTAATTATTCCAAGCTACAAACATATCGAATTTAACTGTATAAACATTTGGAAATATTGAAAAGCGTTAGATAACAATGAGACGTACCAACTTTGTTCGCTGGATAGATTGAGTGAAGAATAGATGATCATAAAAGTTAGAACGTGCGTAACAGTTCAAAGGTTAACCAGACGTTTCTTTTTTATGAACCAAGGATAACAAGCATCTATTCTAGAATTATTATTTCAATCATAATACAACAAATTTTATAACGAAATAATTCCCTTGCCAAATATTTTTATGTTCTAGACATTTATTTTCTTTTTTATGCAATGTGTTTATAAAATTAATGATAGAAATGTAGAGTAATTTTAAAGGGTTAAGTGTAAAAATATAGTTAATTATAGTTCAAAGCGAATATTCTATTGGAATATTTTCTTCGTTCTGAATTCCAATTTCTGATGGTATAAATTGAAGTTGATTTGAATGTTCTATTGGACGCGTTATAGACGAAGAATGACGTCGTGGTGAAAACTCAGTAGATACGCCCAAATATAGCGGATAAAATGGTTCAAGATGATCAACTCGATTATTTTCATTTGGGAAATTTATTTTAAATTTTGTAATATTCAAGCAAAGATCTTCATCTTCAAGTGTCCATATATATACAACGCTAGAAGAATTTAACTTGTATGTTGCTGGAGAATCAATCAAAATAAAATGAAATGAATCAATGATAATTTCTTCTTCATCGTTTGCATAACGTATCATTGTTCCTGATAAAAGAAGTAATCTTTGATTTACCTGAAGTTCAATTGTTAAATCCGATTGATTCTTGTAAAATACAACTTTTCCATTTAACAACATTCTTAATTGTGAATGTGTTAACTTAAATGATTTTTTATAGTTATTCATTATCACATGAAGTGCTATTTCATCATAAATCGAACGAGCAATTTTCTCATCAGATAATAACAGATTTAACAAAACTCTATCGATTGAATATGTTTCAACGAGTCCACCATCAACAGCATAAGTCCCATAAGACGAAGAATTTTCAGAGAATAATGCATCGATTCCTACAATACTTCCACATTTGTAATAAGTAGATACTGCATCATCTTTACATCGAACAATACCACGAACAATCAAATAAGCTGTTGTCACTCTTTGCTGCTGTTGTATTAAAATAGTACCGGGTTGAAACCATTTATGTTTCACCGTCATAAGAGATTCCCATTGCTTTTTTTCGATTGAAGAAAATAGCTGGAAATACGGTATTAAATCAAAGGGATTTTCAAGCCTTTTCTTTTGATTTTCTGACATTTGTATATTTCCGTATTCAAGAGAAAATAATTTATTTTCAATTAATTCTAGTATATGTGAATATTCTTTTTCTTCTAACATTCCAGTTTCATATAATTGAATAATAGCAACAGATTCATATTTTAAAAGCATTTGAGCGCAACGTCTTGTCATTTGAATGGTCCAACAAAGTCGATAAGATTGCTGTAAATCAAGAAGTACATGCATTGCATTTAATTGATACATCTTTACTTCGTCACAAACTTCTCTCATTAATCGTCCATGTATATTCGATAATTCAGGAAATTCTACTCGAATATTATCCAAACGCGTTTTAGCAGAATGAAAACCTAAATAATAATTACTATCATTTTTTAAAGGAAACCGAAAAAGAAGTCAATTTTCAATTCAAAAAAAAAATGATTGAGCAGCTATTCTTCGTCACCTATTTCACATCTCATACGAGTTCCAATCTTGGTATTCTATTAAGCGTAGTGTTCTATTCGTTAGAAATTTTTCAATATTAAAATCAAATATTTCATAAAGTATTGCTAATTAACATTTCAAAAGACTGTAATCGACATCTTTTAACAATAACTAAGACTTGTAGGATCGTCTCGGAATCAATTAGCTCTTTTCGCTGAAGAGAAAAACAATTATATATCTTATCCTCAGGACGAATATTCAATTTGAATTACAAAAATCTCATCGAAATTATCAAAGTAGAGTTTCACAGGATCTGAAGTGAAAAAATCCCGGCACGAGCGAGACTACCAACAATATTCCTTCATAACAATTGTTTTTTAGAAAAACAATCCATCGAGCTTTACTAGATATCGACAAGTCGCAGTCAGGGTCCAAACTAAAAGTTTTTCGTTTCGACTAATCTCTGTCATATCGTTTTGATTCATTTATTCTATTCATATTTGCATTCACGATTTTAAGAGCTCAATAATCTTTGTTTTGTCTTGAGTAAACAAATAGAAGATATTTGAATGAACTTAAGATAAGCTAGTCGACCACGCATAGTGAAGATATTAGCAGATATATACATCTTAAAATATGTCTCGAATTGATTGACAATTATATAGAAAGTCTGATTTAAATATTTTCTCGGTCACATTCAACTAATCTGCGATATTTAATTATATTTACTTACTTAAAGTTAATTCAATAGTTCGAAAAATATGATCAAAAAATAGTTGATAAGTCCATTGATTAATAAAGTTAAAATAATGAAATTTAATTAGACATCGAAGCAACATTGTTAATCGAAAATGTTGAACAATTAATTGCCAATGAAGTTTAAATGAATTTTTTTGTTTTGCTTGTTCAACTGATTTGATAAGAATATTCAGTGTACTTCGACGAATCATTCCAAGATACCATTGTTTTTCATAATCAATCGATATGGCTGTTAAAAAACGAGTAATCAATGCATTTCGAATATTTTGGTCATGTATACTATCGTCATCCAGAATATTAATTATTGGTAAAATCATATCGTTATCTTTTGCAAATTTATTTCGTACTATTGGACTATTTGGCATTGAATTTGTTTGATAAATTGTTGGAATTGTTTGTAATTCGAAGTCTGTACTAGTGCTTTGCCGAGAAGATCTTCGAGTTGATGTTGGAGAATTTTCATTTATCATTGTTGATAACTGTTGATGAAAAGTTGTACTATTTTCTTGATCTAATTCTTCTAATAATTTATCAGGTAGATATTGATTTAATACTTTCCAATCAACGTCAGCAAATTTTTCATCTCTTTTCAATGTTGATAACTTCCATGATGTTTGTCGTCGCACATGCTCAAGTGCTTGTAAAAGAACTGTTTCACTTTCTTTGGTACCTAAAATGCTTATTAAATCTTATATAATGTAACCTAAGAATAAATTCAATCGTACACACCATGATGTAAACCTAGAAGTTTTACTAAGAATTTGCTGCTTGTTCCATTAATGACTAACGTAAGTAATACAATCATGGATACATGGAAAAGGAAGCGATCACGTATCACAGAATCAATGCTTGTATCTAGGCTAATTATAAGTACTAAAATAAGAGCCATACTACCTCGTAGACCACTCCATATTAAAATTACACAGTCTTTCCATGATAAATATACGCCAGTCCATTTCATGAAAGGATGTAATATTACAACAGTTATTATTCGTCCAATATGAATAATTATATATAATACAATTGAAAATCCAAAGTCTTTTGCTGTAATCGTGGTTGATGTACCAATAAATGAACTCGCTAATATAATACCAGTAACAGTAAAAATAAGAATATTAATAAAAAATGTAGCAATTCGCCAAGCACTCGCCATCGAAGATTGAACATTATTACTGATACAATATTTATATTTACTCATATATAAACCCATTGTAACAAGAGCAAGAACAGCTGATACGCCAAGTTCAACATCAGCAACATAAAAAATTAGATAAGCAAGACCAAAAGTAAATGTGATTTCAACTTCGAGTTCATTGTTGATTCGATTCAATATGATTACACTAATTATTCCACAAGCTAAACCAAAAGCAGGACCACCTAAAAATATATATTCAAAATATTTCATAGCTAAAACAGAATTTCTTATCTTTTGCTTTACTAAATTAGAGACACGATTGAATTTAAGATGAATTATGAGTAAGAACCGAATGGAACTATGAATATGTAAAAAATACAAAAGACAGATTCGATGAGTACACACACCAGTGAGTCTCTTTCATAGACAGTCAAATATAAGTGCTCGAAATCTCAATATATAAAATAGAAGATTATGTAGATATGAACAAGTAGTTTTAACATGGCTTGTTTATTTATTAAGCCCGATTACTTGTGACTCTTGCTGGTCTTCAATAAGAATTCACCAATATATTCTTCAAGCCAAGAGAACTTCTCGGAGTAAATGTAAATGTTCAACTATATGACATTTTCTTAATTCGATCACTATAATATTTGATAGCAAGTTTCAGTATTAAAATATCAAGTTACTATTATCCATTTCAAAATATAAGATACCTTACTTTTTGAATGGTGAAAACCGCAGGTCTCTATCTTGTTCCTATCAAAAACTATTCAAAAAATACTAAGGTATCTTATATTTTGAAATGGATAATAGTAAGTTAATCAGTCACTTCTAAAGCATAAATGATTTGCTTACCAATGCTGTATTTAACTATATCAACAATTATTTTTTTTGCACTATGATCTCCACCAATGACAATATTATAAAAAATAAGAAAAATAACAAATGCAGAACCATCGTTTAATAAAGATTCAGAATCAATCAATGACGCTAGTGATCTACTCGCGCCTGAATCATGTAATAAAGCGACAACAGCAACCGGATCTGTTGCACTTAGAATACTTCCAAATAGAAGGCCAAGTAACCATGACCAGTTATATGGAAATATATAAATTCCACATATTGCAATAATGACAGTTGATATAAATACACCAGGACCAGCCATAAGAATCGCTGATAAGAGTTGTTGTTTTATAACATGAAAATGACCATTAAACGATGAATCAAATATTAATAATGGTAAAAAAATATAGTATATTAAATGAGGATTAATATGACTCAATTGAATTTCTCCAAAGAAGAAATCGTTGTTGTCATTTGTTATTTCTGTTACCATAATACCAATTACAAATGACACAATAAGAACTGATATTGTAAATGGAAGTGGAATTGTATTTTTTAAAATTCTTGAAAATATTATTTTAACTATACATCCTACTAATATAGAAGATGATAAGAATAAAATAACTGTACTACTTTTTGATTCCTCGTGAAGATTTTGATTTGTTGAATTGTTTTCTATAGCCATCTAAAATAAGAATTCTACATTAAATTAAAAATTTCATAGTTTAATAAACAGTTCATATAGAAATATATTCAATGTTAATGAATAAATTTTGTTATTTCTATTAGATAACAGGCAATTATATTTAAATGCATCATATCATATGTGTTTTGAACGAAGTGTTCTACTGATAACCGACTTTTTTAATTTGACGTATAGGAACCGAGAAATCTTCTTCTAGGATACAGGCTTAAGCAGTAACGTAATCGGCAATGATAAATAAGTTCAATTTATTATCTATCCGTGAACATCATCGTGATCTTTTCATTGTGATTCATTGTAGTTATCAGTGCCAGTACACGTAACAGTGGCAAATGATTGAGCTAAATATTAGCCCAACTGATTCCATAATCACCAAAAAAAATAAACAACTTTATCATAAGATTAAAATAAGATGAAATATTAGTAGTACGTTTATAAGAGATATTAAATCAATAGTTTTGACAAGAAAACTTATCCTTTATAATTGCCCGTCTGTTTTTAGGAATCAGGCAGTGAATCGTAATGTTTGTTGTATTTTTGTTGAAACCTTGTGGCATATTGCAGTTGCTATGATTACGTTCCAAATGATTTTTACTATAAACAACATTTCTATGATATTCGATATTGTATTTGACAAAGAGACCAGGTATAATTTAAAAATATATACAATTGATACATCATTCGGCGAGCTGGATGCAGAAAAGTACTTTGTCCTGGAAAAACAGGAGAAGTAAATATCGAATTCGTGAACAAAACAGAACAAAATATAGCGTCATTGTCTTTGTTTGAAAAAGCAAAATGACTCGATAGGAAAAAATTATGAATGTGCACAAGTCGATATCTGCATATGATGATAAAATCAGACTAAATAACTATGATTATATTTTTAGAACTTTTTATCAATAAATCAGCACATTATGGGCTAATAGAAATATTTATGCTTTCACTTTCATTATTTATGTTGTATATTGTTGGTCTTCAAGCAATGCAAAACACATTTCAATTGAAAAATTAAGTTGATTGGTTATATCCACTTTGATATTTACTAATTAGTCACAACTCTTTAAAAACTAGATGGTATTCGAGTTTCACTCGACTACAAAATGCGGTGCGAAGCACACGGGCCGAATTTTCGAAAACATGGGGATTAAGATAAAAAAATGAATGATCAATTTCAGAGTTCATTAGAATCGTTTTTTCTTAATGTCTACGAATTTTGAATTTATGTTTCGCATTCACTATTTTTAAATCGACCATTATTGTCACGTATCGCACTCAGTACGTCCTTTTTCTAAAATGTATTTCAGTCTATCTGATATTTTGCGTAATAGAAAATACTATTACGCAATTGTAGAAAATCATCAAGGCCAAACACAATGTTGTTTTGACCTTGATGATCAATACAGAAAAAAAATGAGATCGAAAAATATCAAAGAACGACAAAAGAAAGAGAAAACAATATACGTATTGTATATGTATAGCATAACGTGCTAACAAGAACGAACACAACAATACGAAACAACAGAGACAAAGAAAAGAAAAACACGAAATGTCACTACACTACAATTATGAAATTCATCACTAGGAGATCTCTTTGAAAATGTAACAACCAGTTTTCTAGCGAGTTTTTTCATTAAACGACTATCTGCTTTCATGAATCATTATCCTGAATCATATGTAAAGCAATAGACTATTATTGACTATCAATTATTGATGACGTCATTTTAATTATATCTAATTTCTAAAACTATAAATAGCTTTCAAAATCGTCATTTTGGAACAATATTTTTGAGCCAGCAAAAAATTGCATTAAAAATTCAGAAAAAAATATCGCAAGTTCAACTTTTATATTTTCATTTCTACTTCGAACGATTTTTCTATGATTTTCGGATCTCGAGATCATCGCGCTACTAAATGATAACTTTGATGCGTACATCAAGTAACTAGATGGTATCCGAGTTGCACTCGTATACGAAATGCGATGCGAAGCTCGAATCGGATCTTCACGAAAAATCTTCAATTCAGAGAAATCTTGAATACTTTTTAAGTCGACATAATGAAATTCATCACTGAGGAAACTCTATTCTTACTTAGCAATACATTCTTAAGGGTCGATTTCGATTGATCGATTAATTATCTCCATGATTCATTATCTTAGATCAGCTGTAAATGAATAGACTATAGTGGCTAACATATGTTCATGACGTCACTTTAATTATCTCACAACGAATTTCTTTCGTTTTCGTCATTTTGGAACCACATTTCTGAGTGAACGGAACTTCAGTTTAAAGATTAGAAAACAGATGTTCTTAGTTCGATCTCGATACTTTCATCGCCCGTTTCAATGAGTTTTCGATGATTTTCGGTACTCGAGGCCATCGGATCAAAAAATGACGAAAAAGATGCGGACGTCGAGAAAGCAAAAGCAAAATAAAACACGTGACGGACTACATAAATGCTATGCTACGCATCGTATTAAAAAAATGGCGACTTCGAAGCATCGCTATACAGTGCTACGCACCGTAATAAAGTAAATGATTTTATCATGATGTTATTTAGGTCAATATTTTTATGCAAGAGGTATAATGTGAATTAAAAATTTTGCTTTCATCATAGGAAATTATTCTAAATAGAATTACTAAAAATTAATTTTCTGAATACTATACAGTAATACTTTAGGAAGTTCAAGGCATGATTAAAAATTATTGATTTACTACATTTTAATATGCCTTATATCGCACATCAAAGCTATTCTAGTTTTAAGTCATTATAAATGATAGAAATTGCAGTAATATGCATATGAGTCAAGAACGATCATACGTAAAATGAAAATATGTTTCGTCATACGCAATAACCAACCTGTAAGGATGACAATAGTGAATAATAATTTATATTTAGGTGTTGATTGACAATCAAAAAGAAGACATATTTTTAAATGAGAGGAAACATTTTTTGTTGATAAAGCTTGCTTATCAATAAACATAAACTATTCTTTATAGAATATCACCGTGAGACACTGACAGAAACATAAAATATCACGATAGGTTTATTTCGAAAAACGACCTAAATAGTCAATCCTATTAAACATCCTCACAAGTAAACTATTAGACCTAAATAATAGATACAAAAAACTCAATTTATTTTCAAATGATTTAATTCTATAAAAATCCTATGAAAAGTCTATACCTAAAGGAGCATTATTCAACTGAATTTGTTACTGAAGAAAAAACCTTCGAATTATGAATTGGTAAAGTATAATATGCTTTAGTCTGAAAATAAAATAAAATCTCAATAAACTTTGAACCTTAACTTTAAACGGTGATAACTCACAAATACTGATTGTGTGAAATAGTTGTTATCAAACGTCATCGTGAGTGAAGAAACACATTTGATTCATGCAGCTGTAACTGGTGAATGTATTATCGATTAACTAAACTAAATATAATATTACCTTTTTCTACGTCAGTTTTTCTTTTCCGTCTGTTCTTTTTGTCTTTTAAATGAAGCATGTCCTCCAGAAAAGCATTCAGTAAACACTTCCTAAGATGTAATTACACAATCGTACTAAATATTTGCTACTTTTCAGCTACTCCAGTATCATTGTTTTTATGCCTTGATATTGAATATACATGTAAATCCTATCAAAATAAACATCAATGCCCTATCTCAATAGAATAAGAAAAGTAGTTCAAGCTATGTAGATTGGTTCCATAAATCTACTTGGTTCTACGATCTAGAAATAGAACTTGATAAATATTTTCATGATAAGAAATAAAAACCAAAATACAATCTTTCAATGTTCTTTTTCGCACATGGCTGATGTAAGCAACATATATAATTTCTCTGCTGCTAATACATGTATTCATGATGTTATTCCTCGTATTTCTCTTCTCAACTTAGATATTGATATATTATATTTATCTTTGTTATCATGTGCTCATACTCATTCACACTGAAAATTCTTACACGTACAATATTCCTGCATTGTCTACGTAGTAGTCAAGAGAGAAAGTGCTGGCACCCACACCGAATAGTGCTGGACAGGTGCTGAACCGGTGCTGAGAGGCCAATTGATTTTTTCAGGATACCACATAAACTGAGTCACTACATTGTGATTGATTAAGAGCGCTCTCTGTCAGACTCATTATTGTACTTCAATACTAGCGAATTCTTTAAGTATCCAATCAGAAATTTACTGATTTTACAAAACTGTCTAATTGTAATTCAATTTTCTTACTTAGAAGAAACTCCTTTTTGTGCTATTTTTCTGATATAAAAAAGAGAAGAAGTTCCGTTAAATATTTTTCAGTTACTTTAATAAATCTTATTTATTCCACGGGATAAAATGCTTTTTCATATTCTTTAAAGGTGGCATGTTGTCAGTAGTATAGCAGTACTAACAGAGTACCCAGCGTTGCCTGGAAAAATTCACACATAATATGTGCAAACAAAACCCTATTGTGCTTGAGAAGATCTAAAACGCCTAATTATTAGGAATAGATATACATAACTACTAGTTTTGCCCGTGTCGATTTTAATCCCGAGTCTCACGCATATATTCTGTCTCGATCCCATCTGATCTCATTCACAATGAATATACAGTAATGACATTGAAAGACGGCTCCGATGTGAGGAATTCTCCGTCGTTATACATGTAGACCAAGAAGACCTAAGTGGCGCATATCAATTTTATGAGCTTTCTATATTTCCAAGTACATCTCGGAGCACATACTTATGTCAATCGGTTCCGATCCCAACCGGCTTCCGTCTTACTTGGTCACGGTTTCAGTCCCGATTCCGTAGCTTTTTGATTCTATATTTAGAGGAAACCCATTTGAGAATTCGTTTTTCAAAGAGCCATGCAAGAAAAGCCCGCTGCTATCAAAACTCAACACAACCACACATCTACTTGCTCTAGAACTTCAGGTTTAGAATATCTATTGATTAGCAGAGTTATGCCAGTAAATCGTACTTTGTGCTGCTGAGAACACACTGAAATTTGACTGGTTGCAAAGAAAAACAGACAAAAAGATCTTTGAACAAAAAATTTTTTAAGAACTTAATCAGTCGATATCTATGACGAACAAAGCCTTGGACCTGACAGAACACTTATTCAAAATTTCCACCGCGGATGATTTTCAAAGAACCAGTTTCTGCAAAACTCTATGTGTATTTGACATGGTCCTTCTAACTAAGCAACGGATCGTCTAGTAAGGTATTACGCTCGATAGATTTCCGATTCATAATATCCATCTTACGATCATTCAGTGACTCGTTTACTCAAAAACTCCGCGTCTGTTGGTTTTGGACTAATCATGAAGTTATCGAAGTAATTGGGCCCCAGATTCGACCTCATCGCCCTCGAAAGCATCGGGTTCCATGTTTTCTGTGTGCTCACGAAGCGTTGCTCAATAGTTCTTTTATACTACTGAATGCTGAAATCTGATTGGCTAGTCACATATGCATGGATTTTTGCGGGTGTAGGAACAACTCTTTTTGGAAACAAGTAGCTGTTGACCTTCTTCTGGAGGAGAGAAGGATTCCTAGAAAGTTTGGTTGCATTTGCTTGTACGGTGTCCAAATGCATAATGAACATACAGACAAACATTCGTCTTTATAAATACATGGGTGGTTCTGTGGGGTTTATACCAGTTTTGTGGAAAAAAGCTTTTTTTAAATTTTAATAGTCTAGCTAGGCCGTATCGTTGTCGAAAACGGTCTTAGGTAACAGTTAAAACCTTTTGGAACATATAAAATATGGAGAAACATTATTTTTTCAGGAGCATCTCACACATATAAAGGGTATCTCATAATAACTGTTAATAAATTATTAATGATATTTTTCATACCTTTCCTTGGCATATACGACTAAAATTTTTATCTCATATATATCTAATAGAGATATTTTATTTCTGAAAGTTTTAACTCACTAATTAAACATACTGGGGAAATACATCGACAAGAGTAAAATACATCAATTTTCGAACTTGAATTTTGCACATTTTTATTAGGAAATTATTGCAAAATCGATATTTCACCAATAGTTTAAGCTCGAAAGTTGAAATTTTCAGAAATAAAATATCTCTATTAGATATATATGTAATAAAACTTTCAGCTCTCTAGGTCAAGAAAAGCTCGATTTTAATTCTGTTATCTAAACTTTACTTGCTAATTCTTAGTATTGACTAGATCAATTCTGCCGCTTTGAAACCAGTAAACCTTGATAATTAGTTTTCAGACAAGGTTTCTAAATTCACTTGTTATTTCAATCAGTAAATCTGGATATATAGAATAGTAATGAATAATCAAGTTAACATTTATTTACAATTTTACTGATGAAGATACAACTGAATCAGCAAACACCCATCATACCAATAATAGAACTCTATCCATATGTCGTATAATATAGTACAAAAAAACGTGAATCCCTTACTCAGGTCGATCATTCCGGCCACCGGATCCCGTAGGATACTCCAGAAAATATGCGGGAAAGTCGCCATATCCTGCAGGAAAACACGGGAAATCGCTGGAATGTGGAAGCACTACTCTGGTCAAAAATACGGCCGGACTCTTCGACCTGGGTAAGCCACTCTAAATACTACATGAAATTTGAAAACGTAACTAAGTAAAACGAAACTAACTTCTATCTAATAGAAACACAAACGATAATTGAACTTGAGTACTTTTCACGAAAAAATATCGATTCAGTTTTCAAAGGCGCAGCTAATGTCAGCAGAACATGAACTGTATACTGAAGTAAATGAAGAAATTGTTGTTAACTCGAATAAAGACAGCTACATGAATTTGACTCGACTCCTTTGTTAATTAAAAATCTGAATTCGCTTCGAAATTATTTTCATTCGAATTCGATCTCTGAATACACAGTATGTGGTCAGAATCCACATGTGTTTTTATGTATTCGAAGGCTTCTCTTTTGGAAACAAAATCTAATTTTTAGGCTATATAGATGTTCAATAGAGAAGTACGCCCGAACCAACTTGTAGCACTAAACCTACTTACTAATCAGAAAGCACTCGAAAAAGTGTGAAAGGCAAATGTAGGTCGAATAAAAGATTAAGCAACCAGTGACATATGCACATCTATCAAATATTCTTCGATGAAGATTTAGAAAGTTAAAAGTAAAGATATACGAAAGATTTGCAAGTTGCCAATATGACGCAAATGACATATATGTGTGTAATGATACCGTTTGGACATGTATCCATACACTTATATATCAGCAAAATTTGAATTTATTTTTAAGACAAGCTATATTATAATCGCTACACTGATAGTCACAATAGTTCTCTTAATTTTCGAAAACTATCGGAAAGATCTAAAAAAAATAATGAACGTCAAATATTACTTGTTTTGAAAAAAGAAGTCAACCCAATATAAAAAAAAGTACGCAATTACCGTGTCGCTTATTTTGAGTGACATATGCTCATCTTATTCTCTAGAATGAATATCTCGTTAAATGTGATTTCATTGATGAAAACTTAGATTGTAATGCAATCATAATCATAAAATGACAAAATCGACATTATAATTTCACTTCATCGCTCATTAATTCTATAAGACACGTGCACCTGATATTTTGATTATATTTCATTGACGTGACTAGTTGTTTATTGATCAAGAATTGTTATAAAAAAAGCAAAGCACTCATATTTAAAAATACGAAGCATCATACAAGATGGAAAATATTTACGAGACGTATGAATAGAAAATTGAGACATTGATGAAACAAACAGCAGCAAAGACAATGACAACTGAATAAGAACAGATAACAACTTAATTGATAGAAGAATTTCTCTTCAGTTTTCAAAGAATAGTAGTATCATCTTAATACTCGTCAATTCTTATTTTTACATCAAATGTTTTACTAAGAATCGTACCTTATTCAAATAGTCGAAAATGATAGCTTGATTGATTTGGTGCATTTTGTTTCACTGCTTTATTTTCACTCATCTTTGAAGCATGACAAGTTTTACATGATAAAACAAATGAAAAATTTACAGTGCAATCATGTTTTATACACTCTATCATTTTTATCTTTTTCGTTTAGTTAAATAGCCTCACCGGCTTAGGAAATGATTGAAAATTTGAAAGAAATATTTTTGAGAATAGTTGCACTCCATTTAAGCTTATCAAATATTGAATTATAAATATTGCTTCCATTCAAAAGAGAAAAATATTCATAAAAATTTGCCTATTTTAAATGAAGTTCATGAATAATTAGCTTTCTTTCACGAAAATAAAACGTTGAATCACTTTATTTATACTAATATATATCTATATACAAATAACTGTTTTTAAAAAATTCACAGAATTACAAGAAAAAAGTTATCAAAACATCATCTGACATAGAATCATATACATCAAAAAGGAAATACAATTGAGGTTTCAATTTACATATTTATATATCACAATGTATTTCTAGCAGCTGACAATCGATGAGCATGTTTCTTTGAAAAGAACGTATTTAATAGCTTCGAGAACATTAAGTTTAATTGTCGTTGGTAGTTTCCATGGATTCTTACCATCTATCTTGTGGTTACCTGGTTCATAAACACCTGTACATACTAAAATTGATTCGCACACCGCTGCACTTAAAAGATCCGAACGAGGCAACAGACTATAACCAGTAATACTTGTTTTGGAATTCATGGCTTGTTGTAATAAATTATTATACATATTTGCACCAACAATATCAACATTTGGATTATCACCAATGAAATAGACTTTGCCAATTTTTGGTTGACCATTAGCTAATGCAATTTTATTAGCTATTGTTTCGGCATATTGAAATGAAATTTCATTTGGTTTACCAACGAATGCTGTATATTTGAGATCGTTTCCACTTATACTCTATAGAAAAATAAAACCTGTTAGAATGTTTATACATGAAAAAGAAATGATTTACTTTGTATAATGTTTCTAAACATGTTAGAAAAGCACCATGACCAAAACGTGGTAAATCTGCAGCAGCTTTAAATACTAGATCTCTGTTACAAGCAATCATGGGAAT